TTGAACCAGCAACCTCCCAGCCACAGGCTCAGATCCTGAGCCACAGTGCCACCGCTCCGCCCACGTGTCCTCTTAGAACGTCTGTATCTGCTTTGCCTCAGTGCCACTTGTGGCTACCGTGAAAACGACTTGCTGTGACTCTCTGATACACTGTGTTTTAACAGGGGTCTCGAGCAGCAATCTCGGGATCGTTAAACGGGCATCAATCGGAATGGCCTCTGCAGATCTGTGGTCCCTCTGTGATTGTAGCCTGTGGGCCGTGCTTGAGAGGATCTGGAACTGACGTCTCTCTCCTGTCCACTAGAGCCCATACGGGGCAGGAGGACAGTGCAGGAAACACAGGCGTGTGACAGGGGGATTGTGGATCAGCGCCTCCAAAATACATGAATATAACCCTTCTCGGGGCTTTCTTCTCCCTCTTCATGGACCAGATTGTTGTGTGGGTTTTGTCTTTAGTGTGTTACCAGATTTTAATCATGAAAGAGGGAGGGATAAGGGAAGAAAGTCGCACCTTGTAAATCGGCTTTCCAGTCGGCCCATTTCTCTACGAAATGCGGACTGTGAGAGAGGAGAGTGAGAGTCTATTGTCATCAGCCACAGCTCTTACAGAGCACCTGAGCGGACTGTCCTGATGGGGACACCTCACAAAGTGAGGGAGAGACACTAGGAGAGGGAGGAAAAACATGTCCACTAGGGGGCAGTGTTGTGTTATTACACCCACATACATCAGCAGCAGCTCAATTCCTTGTGTTTTTACCAGTGTTTTCCATGTGGAAGAATCCCACCAATGTCCTGAATGTCTTTGTCCCCAACAGAGAAACAATGAGACAGTGACATTCTAGCAGTCAGACAGACATTCAGACAGAGACACGTCTTTGTCCCCAACAGAGAAACAGTGAGACAGCGACACTCCAGCAGGCAGATATTCAGACCAAGACACAGACCTCCAGGTGAGCTGGGTGCGACTCCACACTTCCCCGCTGAGAGCATATCTCTTCCTCCTCCTCAACAGCTCCGCAGTGCCAATTATGTCAGGGAGAGAACAGCGGGGTTTCTTCATCAGCAGCAGTGTCTCAGAGTCTGAGAGAGAGAGGGACACTCCAGTACATTAACACTGCACTGAGAGAGAGGGGTTAATACAGACACAC